GAAAGGTTGAGAACCACTGCTTTAGGGTGTCTGAAGCCATAACTTACAGATTCAATGAGGCTCTTCCAGTCTAGCTGTCTTCTCTTTTGTTAACTCCTAGCTGCCTGCCCTAACAGTACTCCAGCTTTATTCACATTTAGAAACATTTGGAACAACTAGTTAGGATGTTAAAAACAAGTAATAAAAAATATGTTCTCAGCAATTATTTAATAACATGAGGATATTTAGTAACATGAGAATATCATTAAGTGAACACAGCTGTATATAAGCTATATATATATATTAATATGGTCACTTTCATTTAAAGAAAAGACTATATTTCTATAAAATCATAGGTGAAAGTCTGAAACACATATTCATAAATTATAATAGTGGCTAACTCCAAGGACAGAAGATTATAAGGTTTTTTTTATGCTTTGTTCTAATCTTACTATGGGCATTTCATTCAAATTGGTTTTAATAAGACTAATTAAATTTATTTTTACATTGATTATATTGAAAATTCAGATAGTGGAGGAACCATATTGTCTTGTTCAAGGATCTGGAAATTGACTTGCTTTAAACTGTCCCCATGTGCATGCCCCTTGGAAAGTCTCCAGGTCCTGGTTGTTATTGGTACTTAGTGCCCCAATTTGAAATCTATCTAGCCTCTCTTCTTCAATAGCTGACATCTGGTACCTATTGTGTGCATAGCCTTAGCACATTAACTTTATGAAGGAACCACTCTTGTTAACCCCTTTATGTAGATGAAGAAACTAATGCACAAAGAAACTATGTGACTTGTCCAAGTGTCACAACTAGTAAGTGGTTAGGGACATGGTGGCTTCAGAGTCCAGGCACCTAACTACTGTATACTTGAATCCTTTTTTTTTTTTTTTTAAAGGGGAGTGAAAGAGCAGATCTAGGCCTGGCCACGAGAGGAGAGCTTATCTTCATGTAAATTATTAAGAGAAGGAAGTAAAGAAAAACTGTTTTTCCACTGTGGTAGTGAATAGACTATGCCTGGGTTAATAAAGCACCAGGCAGTGCCTTTTTCTGTACTCTACTAGAGTATCATATTATTTAGTGTCAGTCAAATTAATATTAACACTTTTTATTTCTTTAATTTCTATTTAACAGTAGTTCTCATTTAATTAGTAATTTACAGGAATATTATCTGAAAACCTATTGTATTCTGCATATTCTGCTTAACTTGTTAACATGTTCTACTTTTAGTGAAGATGATACTGTTTTTATGGTAATATTATAGAAGAAATATTGCATTTAATTATGGTAATGATTTCACACTTATGTAACTTGTTTCACCTAAATGCATCCCGAAACTATTTTACATAAAAAAAGAAAACAAAACCCAAAAAACTATTCCTATCACTAAAATGATTATCACCTTCAGTGACAATTAGGATTGTTATCATGCATAAGTAAAAATTAAAATTATTGCTCTATATCAAGAGATATCTTTGAATAGTTCCAAGCAAATTTTATTTTTAAGTAATTGGATTCCATAAAAAACACACCAGGACATTCAAGAAATTCTGTACTTCAAGGTGATTTACTCTCTAATCATATAATTTTGCCTTGCTATACACAGCTGGATTTTTCACTTATAAGCATTCCCCAGTTAGGAAGGATGAGATCTATGAAAGAATTGAACAGGCAGTGGTTGTTATGGGAGCCTGAGAAGAGAACCTCAGACCTCCTCTTGTGAGAAGCTTGAAAGGAGAGGGAGAGTGTGAAGGCCAACAGCCCTATGGTCTCCAGTTGGAATACCAGAACAGTGCTGGGTAGAGAAAAGTACTTCTCTTATTAAACTATGTAGAGAGAACTTATCTATTAAACTTGTCTTATTTTGATACAGATTCAGATTCATCTAACTTTTTTTTTCAATATCTATCATGTGCCAAGCACTGTACCAAATGCTTTCAAGTTCATTATTTTATTTAATCCTCATAACCATGAGGATAACCCAATTTTACAAATGAAAGAACTGAAGCTCAGAAAGGTTATAATATCCAAGGTTAAATAATCAATAAGGGGCAGAGAAACATTTTTTCTTACGTTTTATAGTTCTGTAAGCCTCCATCATCCGTGTGAGTATAAATTACAGTTCTTTAGCAGCAAGTCTGGCATCATAGTCTTTGAGCTCCAGTGTCTTGTAAATTACCTAAGACCTGTAGGAGTTAATCACAGCTCAAAAGGTAAATCCTCTAGATGCCCGCCCCTAAATGAGGAAGAGCCCTGGCAGGGGTCGGTGTGTCTGCTGATGCTCTGGAGTTGTTCATATTGCGAGGATTGTTATAGGTTCTTGATCCATATCATCACTGATAATCTCTTTGCATCCATCATCTGACTGGTTCTATGAGTCTGTGCTTAAGGAAGTCTTTATGGCTCCAGTTCTTAGCTCCTCTTTATAGATTGATATGATCTTTGATAGGGGAATATTAGGGTTCTACACAGAATCAGAATTTAAGGTATTTGATTGTGGAATCTTGGTAAGCCCCAAAGGCCTAAAGCCTCAAATTACTGAACTCTCATTAAATTTAGATTCCTAGTGTTCATCCCATTTCCTTGCTCCAAGCTAATACCATATATTTTAGCTTGTTGAAAGCAACATAGTTCAAGGGATATCAGGAGTTTCCAGATTAGGTTTGACTCACACAACAAAGATCCAAATTAACATCGTTTTGAGTAACCCACAAGTTGATTTCTCATGTAAAAGTCTGAAGGCAGGTAGTACAGGGTTCACGTGTTTCTCTGTGTTGTTAGAGATTCAGACTCCTTCTGTCCTCCTTGGGACATGGCTTTCATTCCCAGCAACATATCAAAGTTAAAGATGACCATCTAGTGCCTGACTTCATGTCTTCATTCTAGTTAAGCAGAAATGAAGGAAAAGAAAAGCAAACTCTTTGCATGGATCATGGCCACTAATATTTCATTGACCAGACTTGTTCATATGCCCCTACCTGGCTGCAAGAAAGACCAGAAAATAGTCTTTATTTTGGGCAACCAGATATGCCTCAGTTAAAAATCAGGGATTCCAGTATCATAGAAAAAGGAAGGAATGGATATTGGCAGACAGTTGGCAGTCTCTATCACAAAGAATTTATACAAATATTAGAAGATGTTAATATATGGACAAAAACAGGACATTGAAATGCAGTTATTTTGATATATTTGATGTTCTTAACAAAGCAGCCAAAATTTTTCTTTAAAAAAAAATTTTCATTACTCTCCTGCTCCGAACATGCTATGGGCTCTCTAATTCACTCAAAATTTTAATAGTGTCCGGCAAGGACTCATGTTATCTCTATGCTCTCCATGGCCTTTCTGCCCCCATCCCAACTACATTCCCTCTTATTCATCCATTCTCTCTACTACTGACACCTGCAGGATCTACCTACTTTAGGGCCTTCTCACTCCTGGATATTGTAAGACTAACTCCTTACCTGTTTTGTGTCTTTGTGTCAGCAATTAGGCCTATGCTGACAAACCTATTTAAAAATTGCAATTCCCTTCACCTTCATACTCCCAATCTGCCTTCCTTGATCAATTTTTTTTTCCTGTAGCATTTATCACCTACTATCGTAAGAATTTACTTATTTCTTGTATCTATTACTTATCATCTGCCTACCCTAGAATGTAAGTTCCAAAAGGGTACTCTTTTTTTCTTTGTTCACTAAAAAATTCTAAGTGCCAGAACAAGCCAACTACATTGTAGGTGCTCAATAAATGATCTGTGGCTGAATGAATGCTTTTATCTCAGAATATCAGTTAAAAGGTAGAAGTATGTTTTTTATTACCTTACAAGTTATTTACTTCCCTTAGTAGTGGTATGCCATGTAACTTGGGGACTCCAGAGATGAGATTTTGTAGCCATGTTTATCAGCATTGTGATGGCTGATTATACTTTGGAAAGGATCCTACAGTATTCTTTAATATCATTTCTTATGGGCATATTGTTTTGGTCTTCGGAAATTTTAGGTTGGCTGTGGTATGTGTTACTTAAGATTTCTAGGTTGCAAATAAGAGAATCCCAGCCTCTTGCTTAAGAAAAAAAAATTGGCTTACATACACAGTGTATCAAAATATGTGGTTGTTTTCAGGGATTTAAATGTTGTCATCAGGAATCTCTCTCACTTCTTTAATCTCTCTCCCTTTCTCACTTTTGCTTTCATCTGCTTTGGCTTCATATATTGTTCTTAAGGCTAGTATTCTAAGAAAACAGAGCACTACTTTGTTTTCTTCATGGAGACTCTGAGGTAGCAATTGCTGTGTCTGGAAAAGGCACTTTGGCTAGCCTTGGAAACACTCACTTCTTTGCCTGGGAGCAAAGCTCCATAATATACATTTCCATGAGAATCAGGAGGAAGCTAGCTTCCAAAGAGGAAAGGATGAAGACAGACCAAAAAAATGTGTTGTACTGCACTTTTCAGTAACATACTCCTCGTGTTGTTTGTTTGTATAATAAGATATTTTCTAACAAACAAAAATTAAAAAATTAAAATACAATTATCATATTTTTCTTAAGTAGGATTATACCAAATGGCTTAGATCTATAATTTTGTCTCTCTTGGGTTCTCATCTCTGTTCATTCCTAACCAGATTTCACATTTAGCAACTATTGCATAATCTAGAGAAGTAGATTGTGATTAATGTCCAGCCTCAATTTATAATCCCGGAGGATTTTACATTTTATTTATTTATTTTTTATTTATTTTTAAATGGGTAGATTTTAAAAAATATATATTTTATTGATTTTTACAGAGAAGAAGAGAGAGGGACAGAGAGTTAGAAACATTGATGAGAGAGAATCATCGATCAGCTGCCTCTTGCACACCCCTTACTGGGGATGTGCCTGTAACCAAGGTACATGCCCTTGACTGGAATCAAACCGGGGACCCTTTAGTCTGCAGGCAGACGCTCTATCCACTGAGCCAAACAGGTTTCAGCGGATTTTACATTTTAAATTGAATAACATTCTTCCTTATTCTTAGCTGAAAATGGCAAAAATAGAAACAGAAGATCAGAGAGCAGCACTTTCTCATTCTTCTTCATCATCCTTGACTAAAGCCATGAAGAAATCACAGCAAAGAAACTCTGAAGGCACTTTCAATGGGGATACCATTCACTCAATTGACAAATATAGTTCAAATCACTTACCAAGGTAAGAATATTATTTCAGCAGCTTAAACTGAGTTCTGGAGCGGATTTAAAAGTACTTTTAGAGTGTTGTCTTTGTAAATGCTCAAGATTTGGTGGAGATTATGATGGCAATAATAAATTAGAGATGTGATGGGCTATGAAGACTGTTGGCTGGGTTAGAGTCCTTCAAATTTTTCTGTTTTATGGGAAGTAAAAGATAGCTGATGCAATTAACACATATTATCATAGGAGTCTGACTAGGACAGGTAGTACAATGGTAATAACAATAACGGCAAGGAAGATAAGATTTACTATGTGCTAGTTAAGTTGAATTATACCTATTTAGTTCTCAAAACAACCCTGGGAGGAATGTAAGACAGATAATATTTTAAACATCTCCATTTTACCTATGAGGAAACTAAGACCTAGAGAAGTTAGTTAACTTAACCAAGATTACACAACTGGTAAGTAGATCCATACTGATCTAAGACCACAGCCAGAGCTCTTAACTATCACTGTATATTCTACCACACTTATAGGAAATATAAGCAGAGGAGACAAAAGTATTTTTCCTTTGTTTTTCTCTATTAGAAAGTGAAAAAGCAAAAAAAATCTGTCAAGTATTTATAAATTATTGGTTGGCTAACTGTGATGAAATAGTCTTTATGTTAAAAGGAAAATATGAATTATAAGAACATTAAAGAAAATGTTCATAAATTAAGATTATGCTAATCTTATAGAAATGCTAGATCATATGTGTATCTTAGAATGGTTTGATTGTTTTTGTGTTTTGTCACTAAGTTTAGATGAAAATGAAATCTAGACTTTCAGCTAATTTTGTTTTGCCTTATTTCTCAGAGCTGTGAGGAATATTTGCAGTATATGAGATTATTTACACAGTGCTTCTACTTCTTTGTCTGATCCAAACTTCTTTTCTGTCACTATTGCCGATTACCTATAAAGTGAAGTAACTAACTCTTCTCAGTAATAGAATGGAAAACCAAGGACAAGGCCCACTGCCCCCCCCAGCCCCCATAAAAAAGAAAATAATGAATTTCAACCTGAAAAGAGTCAGATTCATAAAAGCTAATGGTAACCTAAGATCTGTTTGTACTAATGTGATTATCAGAGAGAGGCAATTTTCTCTAGGAGTAAAGAAATTTTCCACTATTGCAGTCAAAACTTTTCTTGCCTCATCTTTTTTTAAATATATATATAAGAAATATAATATATATATATATATATATATATTATATTTCTTATTGATTTCAGAGAGAAAGAGAGAGGAGAGAGATAGAAATATCAATGATAAGAGAGAATCATTGATTGGCTGCTTCCTGCATGACCCACAGGAGGGATTAAACCTGCAACCTGGGCGTGTACCCTGACTGGGGAATCAACCGTGACCACCTGGTACATAGGTCAAAGTTCAACCACTGAGTCACACCAGCTGGGCTCTTGTCTCATTTTGTTTTCTTTGCCACCTCACTTTCACTATCTTTTCATGAGAAGTGATTATTAAAATATAGTCCATTTGTTGTCCCTTTACTTATATCATAAAGATTGTGCTTTTCTTCACTAAATAACACATTGTACAATTTATAAAAAATGCCCACTTATATTAAATTCACTCATTGCAACCATACAGTAATCAGTCACTTTACTTTCATGTTGTTAGCTGATGATATTAATTTACTCTTTATTATATTTACATCATCCACTCTTCTTTTCTCTTTCTTGTATTCTTCCATTGTTTTTCCTCTATTACTCTCTGCTCATTTATTTGTAACAGAGTAGAAATTGCTGTGCCAAGATTCCTCCACCAAGAAAACTAGTCACCAACACAATAAATGAATTTGAGACACCGTGCCAAAAGTCCGATCTCACCATTTCTGGACTTACCACTAAGAGATTGGTTGACTGGACAAGTCTAGCCTCGTTCCTGTGGCAACTTCCAGGAAAGCAGCACAATAGGAAGCTTTTCCTACCCAGCTGTAGTCTAATGTATCCCAAATGGAATACATTATCGATCATTATTGGTCATAGGTATCTATGGATAATTATCCCATATTTATAGAAAATGTCTCCAAATGATGCATGGAAGATTTTCAAATAAAATAGCATTTTAAACTTAAGAGAATGGCTGATTGGTGTGGCTCAGTGTTTGAGCATCGACCTATGAACCAGGAGGTCACATACCCAGATTGTGGGTTCAGTCCCTAGTAGGGGGCATGCAGGAGGCAGCCAATCAATGATTCTCTCTTGTCATTGATGTTTCTATCTCTTTTTCCCTCTCCCTTCCACTCTGAAATCAACACAAATATTTGAAAAAATAAATAAAATTAAATTAAGAGAATGTTGTAAAAAAATCTCTATCTCACATATAAAATATTTTGTTTTAATGATTTTTAGCTGATGATAATGCAATTTCATAGATTTTTATCCATTACATCCTATTTTTTAAAAATTATGTATATATATATATATATATATATATATAATTGATTTCAGACAGGAAGGGAAAAGGAGAGAGAAACATCAATGATCAGAGAGAATCATTGGTCAGCTGCCTCCTGCATGGCCCACAGTGGGGATTCAGCCCACAACCCGGTCAGGGTCAAACCCTGACCTACCTGTTGATAAGTCGATGCTAAATCACTGAACAATGTTGGCCAAGTTCATTACATCTTTTTACTAGTAATCTTGCTTTCAAGAAGACTGTGCTCAATTCATTCACTCACTTTTTATGTCATTTTAGTTATCTTGGATATTTTTAATTGAAATGGGTCTTAGAGTCTTTTTTAAAATGTAAACACTTGGCTATATCACCTAATTTCAGTATTCCAACAATGAGCTGTCAGGTGTTTCCATGGAATGTTGTAGCAGAAGGAAATTAAGGGGGACAGCAATAGCGAATGAAGCAAGGCAGCACCTCCACTATTTTCAACCCCCATTACCCAACAAATTACGCTTTTTTAGTTTTTATAGATCTAAATATTCATACATTATTTCCTTTTAAAAGTGTCTAAAAACTAATTGTTTCTTTTTGAAAATTTTAATTTCCTCTGAAAAAGTGATATATAATATCAATAACCTCCCCCAGTTTTAAATTTCAGATGTACCTTATTTTTATTCCATTGCACTTTTGCACACACAGATGTATTTTTTTTTCCTGTGGGTGGGCTGATTTATGTCCTCACATATTAATTGGGATACCCCTACCAACATTTCTAGGCCAAACTAGAATTATAGTTTCTTCTAGTGTTGAAAATAAAATATGTCGGAATTATTCACTTTTATTATTAACTTTCTATGATGTTTAAAATACATTTTATCTAACAGTTGTAGAATGTTATTTATATCTTTAGAGGTTATTCATTTCATCAAGTTTGGGAAAGGGTAAGATGAGTTTAATGAAATCTCTGTGCTTTATATTCTCCAGAGATTTTATACAAGTTTCCATTCATCACACATATGTGGGGTTATTTCTCTTATTGATTGTATTCCAGTATTTTAAGGTGATGCTTTGTTCTTAAATGTACTTAGGGTCATTTTTCTTTATATTTACATTTTCTTATTTGTACTTATTGCAATTAGAGAGTTTAATTATCATTAGAATGATAATAGGATAAAGATAAGTTTTTTAAATGACAGTATTAAAAAATAACTCTTTAGGAAGGTTTAAATGCTATAAAAATATAAAGCAAGAAATACATGCTTTTCAAATATACAGTATAAATAAATAATTTAGATGAAAATGGTTGACTACATTTAACAAAGAGACTACCAAATAATGATAGGCTAAAGAGTGGTTGTTAGATTTGATGTACTTCATTGTATATTGTAAGTAATTGCTATCCATAAAAATTCTATGGCTTCTGTATAAGAAAAAGAGACACTTTGACAGGCAACCCTGGTAAGAAGCGACAGCAAGTACAAATCCTTGGCAACTGTCATTATCCTGCTGTTGCATTCATATCCAAACTGTATGATAACTTAGAGCTGCATGGTTGCTATTGAGCCATGTTCTGTCAAAGTAGCCACACTTTCTACTGATGAATAGAATTATTAGCCCCATGCAGATTACTGTCATAGAAATGTAAACTCACCAAAGATACTTTCTGCTTCAGAAAGGAAGAAAATTAACAAAATTCTATATCATTTTATGCTTATTCTGACATTTCTGGTGAGATATTTCTTATTAAGTAAGGTAGAATTTTTAGAAAATACCATATTAGTTTGTATTTTAACTCATTATAAAAGTATTCAAAATTTATAGATTTTGAATAATGCTAAAAGTAAAGCCACCATGATTAGAAAGTTGATTGTATAAGTTAGGCTACTATTAGAAAGTAAAAGGAAACTGAAACTGACTTTTAAAATGAGAAATAGTCATTATCTCACATAACAGGAACTTAAGAGGCAGGGTAATTCTAGGGTTAAGTTCAGTGGTTCAGCATGTTATCAAAGACCATGGCTCTTTGTAACTTTCCCACTGCCATCCTTAGAATATTGGCTAGATCACTGGTTTTGACTGTTCCTACTCACAAGATAGTTCATCATAGGTTCACTCAACAATATCCAATAAGATAATCAATGTTTAATCACCTACATCTCTTTTTCATTATGGCAAAAAACTTTCCCCAGAAGACTTTTCACATGTCCCATTGGCCAAAATGGAATCACAAGTTGATTACTTAGCCTGCAAGGGAAATGAAATTAACACCATTTGTGTTAGACCATTAAGGATTCCTCCCCTGGAGCTGATCAGGTGGTACTTTTCATGAGCATATAAAGAGGTTGGATACTTAAGCGGAAATGACTGTTTTCATCTAAGGAAAAATCAGGGAAATGACTGAGATAAAATGAGCATTACCTAACATAACTCTTGGCGTGAGCTTTAGCATATTTTATTTCATAAATTGCGTTTGTTTCTTGTCATTGCATTTTTACACTATGGCATAATTTTCAAAGAGTAATTCCTGCATGTCAGTCTGGTTGAGTTCCTGTGGAAGTGAAAAA